TTTACTGATTTGCGAATATTGTACCATCCTTGCATCCCAGGGATGAATCCCCCTTGGTCATAGTGCATGATGTTTTTAATGTATTGTTGGTTGTCGTTTGCCAATTTTGTTGAGGATTTTAGCATCTATGTTCATCAGTGATATTGGCCTGAAGTTTTCTTTATTTGTTGTGTCTTTATCTGGTTTTGGGATTAGGATGATGCTGGCTTCATAAAAAGAGTTTGGGAGTCTTCCATCATTTTGGATTTTTTTTGAATAGTCTGTGAAGGACAGAGATTAGCTCTTCCTTAAATGCTTTGTAGAATTCTCCTGTGAAACCATCTGGTTCAGGGCTTTCATGTGTCAGAAGTTTTTTGATTACTGCTTCCATTTCATCTGCTGTTATTAGTCTGTTCAGGCTTTCTGTTACTTCTTCTCTGAGTTTTGGAAGATTATATTTTTCTAGAAATTTGTCCATTTCACCTAGGTTTTCTTGGCATACAGTTCTTCATAGTAATTTCTTGCATTCCTTTGTATTTCTGTGGTATCAGTTGTAATCTCTCCTCTTTCATTTCTGATTGTGTTTATTTGGGTCCTGTAGGAGACTGTTCTGCATGTTGTGGGCCCAGCTCCCACTCAGAGATGCACAGGACCAACCCCCATGGATAGGTTCTCCCATGGGGAATCAGGCCTGCATTGTACCTAGACTGCTATGAAACTTGCTTTTGCTAAAACTCCCTCACCCTGATTGAGACAGCAAGTGCTTATTGTCATTTCCTAAGATCCATGCTAAACCTTCCAAGGATGAGTGTAATCAGTTCAACCACTTTTCCCTTTTCATTTGCAAATATCCTTCTTCTGTGATGTGATTAGCAGCAGCATGTCCTTCATTTTCTCTAAAAGGTAACCACCGAGGGTGAACCTGTGCATACCAAATGAGGACCATAATGTAATATGTCTAGAAACCCAATAAAGGCTGGCCACAGCAAGGGCTGAGGCTTTTTCTCCCCTTGAGAGAAATGCCATGCTGTCCCTTTTCCTCCACAGGACTCAGTAGTCCTTGTGAATGTCTCATGCCTCATCCACAATGCGGTGGACCCCAGGACCCGGGGTCCAAATTAGCTGGTGCCCAGGAACAGGGACCCAGGGCTACAAGCCGTCCTTGTGGACAACATAACAACTTGGTTGGAGTTACTCACGCATAAGCCCAGGTAAGGGCCAACAACACCAGGTGCTTTTTGATTAGGTTGTAAGGTTTGTTGGATTTCAGAGGAAAAGGGTTTTCTTCCTAGGTCACTCTCTCTTGTGACTGCTTTGGAACTGTACCTTCTTTAGTAAGTCTTGTACTCTTTCCCAAGTATTTGCTGCAACCTTGCGGGCACAAGCGAGCAGTTAAGAGCCACAGGGGTGCTCGCTGCAATGCTGTAAAAACACCCACAAGCCAATCCCCACAGCACAACCCCAAACTAGGTCTAGGCTTGAGAGAAAGAGCAAAGATTTTCCCTTTAATCAACTTTAAAAACATCAACTAGTTACTGGACAATTTACAAGCATCTCAGCAAATTGTTTTTTTTTTAAGCCGCCTCTGGGGGTCCCTTCAGTTTTGCCTTTTCCCTCTGTCCACGTGCATAAGGATTTAAAGGTGCAGGTAGAGAAAAGGCAAAATTGAGACTGGTTTTGTAATCACTGTGCTTGCATCCACAGCTGCCCTCTGTGTCCACAGACTCTGTGGGTGCTCACAGCCCCTGTGTGTTTGCCACTTAATCCTTATTTCCCTTTCTGTGACTTCAAGCAACCAGGTCTCTCCAGGTGCTATTCAAACCTTGTTTGGCAGGAGGGGGAGCTGTTGACCCAGTTCTCTCTCAAGAACCCTGTGGCAGACCTGGCAGGCACTGGGCCTGGGGCTGCAGCCACCCTGGTCCCTGCACTGGTCCCAGGGACCTTATTGTCCTGAAGCACTCTCCTTACTGTCTGGTTTTTCAATGTCCTCTACAGTTTTTGGTCTTCTATCTTCATATATCCTGGGGTACTGTTGGTTGTTTGCTCTGTTCCTCCATATATTGGCTAGGTTTTTCTCTCATGTGTAGGGAGAAGTAGAATCTGCTCCCTCCTACCTCACCACCATCTTCAGTCTCCTTCTGATGTCTCTCCTCATATGGGCACTGACTCAATCATGATGGTCTCATCTTCATAAACTCATGTCACCATGATTATCTCTCAAAGCCCTCCTTTCTAAACCAGTTTGGAAATTAGGGTTTCAACATATGAGTTTCAGGGGCACAAACATTTAGTCCATAACACACCCCATTTCCTAGACTTTCTCATGTTTCTATTCTTTTCCTCTGAGAGAGAGACCTACTTCAGAATATCCTAGTGCAAATTTTAATTTTAATTTAAGAAACCTATGGCCCTGGCTGGTGTGGCTTAGTGGATTCAGCACTGGCATGTGAACTAAAAGGTTGCTGGCTCAAATCCCAGTCAGGGCACATTCCTAGGTTGCAGGCCAGGTCCTTAGTTTGGGCTGTGCAAGAGGTAACCAGTCTATATTTCTCTCACACATGTTTCTCATCCTCTCTTTTTCCCTCTCTTATCCTCCCTCTCTCTGAAAATAAATAAAATTTTAAAAACAACAAGAGAATTATATTTTACTAATGTTGTTTCATGTGGAATTAGAATCTATCATCTTCCTTACTCCATTCCCAAGGGCTTTGTGATCCCTTCTGTCCCACAGCACTTAGGATTTCTTGCTTAACTTACGCTGGAAGTCCTCTTAGTCTACTGATGAGCTGACCCCCAGTTTCTGTGATTCTATATTCCTTTCTCTCAATAACCCTTAGTGAAGACCCTTTTATTTACCATATGAGCCTTAGTTCTACTAAACTTAAAACTGTGGTACTTCTAATCCTGTGGACTATTCCTGAGCCCAGTGTCTTCCTTCTACTTTTCATAATGTGATTTAAAAAAAATTACTCTTCATTGTATTTTTTTCCATTATTGTTTAGTTCTCTCTCAATCCTGTGATTCTTATCTTTCCTGATTCCATTCCCTCTGGCTTCACTGGTCCATAGGGCCCCTCCCTCAGTGACTCCAATCTAATGACACTGAAATTCTCATGATCCTGATCCCACTTTGATGGCAGCTTTACTCTCTCCACTACTATTGAAGAAAACCCCAACTCTACATTGTCATCTTCTCTCTATCCAATTTTACTTTTTGCCAGCTTTTTATCCCTTGAGCACAGCCTCTGAATCTCATTTAATAATCACAATGCTTAAATGCTAAAGAATTTATCAAAATCATTTTTATTTATACACAACAATTTTGGGTTGAAAAATCAAAGTTAGTATATGATATATGACACTTCTTAGTTAAAGGCCTCAAAGGATTCATTAAACTAAAACAAAAAGCATTTGGTAAATGTTAACAAAACATTGCAGTTTTAAAGGATGCAGTAATGCAAAAGACACCATGCTTGTGGCGTTTCTGCATCTGTCACCATTTGAATATGATCATATTAGGAGGTACTTCCAGCCCTTACTGAGACTATATTCCCGAGAACAAAAGGGAAAATGTATTGTTGAAGAACACCTGTTACTTATATAAATTTTCTATGCTAGAATTTTTTTGAGAGTCATGGGTCATTACACTTCAAATTGAGAGTATGCTTGAAGCTCTTTGGGAGTACAGAGATAGTAGAATCAGCACTATCACCCAGCTCTGAAGATCCAAGTTTTAGACTGCTGTTCTCTGGATTGTCTGTTTTCACTGGCTATGGAGAAATAGAGAGTGTTCCCATAAATGGAAGCCAATGGATGCTCTTGTGTCCAACATGAAGGATTCTATTCTTTGTATAAGGACTCCTTTAATTCATCAGCTTTGAGAATCTAGGATAAGTCATTGTTTCAGGATATGTAGATTTTCAGAAGAGTGATTTTCTTTTTTCCTCTCAGATTCTTGGTTGGCTTTACAGAGTTTTTCATTTTTATTCTGATCATACTCCTATGGTTTAAATAGTGTGAGAAGTCTCAAGGGTGCCTGTTTTGGAGATAAGCACTTCCTTGCAGTTAAATACAGAAAAAGAATTTCTTATTGAAATACAGAACCTAAAATCTATATATTTTTGATAGTTCATTATCGAAGAAATAGTTTTAAAAATCATTAATGGTGTAATCAAATTTGATCTTGTGTTCTGGCTGGTGTGGCTCAGTGGGTTGACTGCTGTCCTATGATCCAAAGGCTCACTGATTCAATATCCAGGTCACATGACAGAGCTGCACATTAGATCTCCAGTTGGGAGCATGTGAGAGGCAACCTCTCCCTCTTTCTCCTTCCCTTCCCTTCTCTCTAAAAATAAATAAAAAATCTGACCTTGTTCACAACTTTAATTGAATGGCCCTTTTTACCTGCTCATAAATCTTGTTGATGACAGGGAAAAACAAGGTGATGGTTCAATGAGAAAAAGTTATTTTATTTCTATTTTCTATATTTGCTTGATAGTGTTTCCTGAATTGATTCAGGCTTTAATTTGTTCAGTCTGTGATATTCTTTTCCAGAACAAAATATGTCTAAATTTTTCCTATGCTTTGGCATCAGCTTTCAATGAATATTTCCATTCAAGGGTTGGTGACTTTTTGCCACACTTTAAGAGGTGAGAAAAGCACACTTAAAAAAATAAAGGCAATTTGTAGCTTCAATCCAAGAACTGTATATTGGTTTAAAATGTCCATACAGCTGATCTATAAAAATTTATAGCAGTCTGCAATGATTTTGATTTCCTTCTATGAAAATGAATTTATTATGTATGGAACAGGGTAAAGGGGAGATAAATGGTAATGGAAAAATATAATAAAAAACAGCACACACACAAAAAGAAAATGACTTCTTCTGAGATTTTAACATAACATTATATATTTAAAAATAAAAAACCATTTTGTATAATAGTTCAAAATATGAAGCAGATATTTTAAATGGATATTATTTGACTTTTATAATAATGTTCATATATTTTAGTAATTTCTTTTTCAATCAGAAAAGAATTGAGACAAAACTAAAGTTCTTTCACAGAAAATCTTGAACTCTTCAAATATTGATTGATTTTTTAAAAAATGTTTCATTGAAAAAATGTAAATAATGAAAATTGTCATGAGAAAAAGGTATTTTAGGATTGTTTGGGTTTGGTGACTCTTGTTCAGATTCTGGTACTCTTTTGTGGTCATTGAATATTATTGTTTTTTCAAGTCATCAAGCGCATCCTCCTTTGTGATTTTGGTCCAGGTCTCAGGGATTTCACCTCTACCTGCAAATTTTTTCTGATATTTCTCTTCTAAGTTTGATCTGAAGTGACAGACAAACCATTTCCAGTATGGCTGAGTAGATGTGTCTGGGGTGATGCTCCATGTGGCATATTCCCCTCCTGCCTCTCGATACTTCTTATATGGGAATTTACGACCATCACTCAAAATGAAGGAACATTCACTTGCTACTGCACTAGTACAGTAATCAACGGAAAAGTGGTCTGTATTAGCCCATCTCCCTCCTTTGATGGCCTCAGGACGATGAAAAGGAACACTATGGTCTCCATCATGTGAAGAGATTGTGTTTGTACAAGTTGCTCCACAAAAGGGACACTGTTTCCAGCATCCACAGAGATGTTCAGTGAGCAATCTCTGAATTTGAGGACGCATTTCTTTTATAGGAATATTTGAACACTTCTGTTCTACTGTGTTTATTGCAGGATCCAAAGCCTCACTCATGGCTTCTTTGAGAAATTCAAAATCTTTTATCTCCTGGTGTTCAATGCTTACCAAGTCTTTTCGTGGAAAGATCAAGTTACTCCCTAAGTATTTACAGAACAAATCCAGCCACCCAGAAACAGTGCTGCTTCTATCTTTAGCTGTTGCTGTGGATTCATGAATGGCTGAGAGAATGGTATCCTTGATGCCATCTAAACTTATTTTTAAAAAAGTCTTTATTTTTCCACTTTTTTGATCTAAACAATATGTCCTAATACGGTTTTTAATGTAAATACTAAAGAAGGATTCTGGATTATGAAGGTACTGCCAGTAATCATCAAAATCTTCTTTTTCTGCCAGAGAGATAAGAATGTGTTTTTCCAGGTTAGCCCTGTTACCATTGAATGCTGGATATGTAGCCCGCATTTCACCAGCAATTTTAGGAACCAAGTTTTTCCAAATGGTGGCAGAGACAGCAGGAGTGAGTTTCTGCCACAGAAAATCAACAAATGTTTTGATTGAGCTTGCTCCTTGACAAGAAATTTTAAAACTCATGAAGAAATCATCCTTTTTACTTTCCAGATATTTTACAGGATTATTTGCATTTTCAAATGCCTCGTGCATCTCCTGAAAATTTGCTGATGCTCTTTTGAATAAATGAGAAGATAGGTCAATTTTATATTTACTTGTAAATTTGTATCTTTCCTCAGTGGGTGAAGAATTCACCTCATCTTCTATTATTTTCAGGATTTCATGGAAATAATTTGGATTGTAATCACATTGTTGCCCCTGAAAGTTGTTAATAGCTTCTTCAAATTTTGAAATTATGTGGTCAGTGGTCTTATCTATGGATATTGTATCCTGTACTTCTAATTGCTGTGAAATTATGTGAAATCTTTTGGTCATTTTGACATGTTCCTTATAATTGATTTGAAAATTTCCTCCTTCATTTTCCTTCATTCTATTCACCACATCTGCCTCTTTTACAAAATGGTTCAAAAGGATGGTTTCAGCATCGACATCAATGTTAACCTTTGTGACTGGAGGGAACGTTGAGGACACAGCACAGACCCATTTTCCCCAAACTTGATTGAATTTCTCATGTAGCTCTTTCTCACTCAGTTCTTTGCCCTTTAAATTTAAAGCCAATTTTCGGCTTTTTTCCAGTAATTCTTTTTCATAATCTGACTTTCTCTTATCCAACATTTCTTGATTCTTTTTATAACTTATATGTTCCTCGACTTTATTTTTGGTCTCTAAAATAAGTGCCTCTGTAAGGTTTGTGAGCTTATTTTCAAAATTTGCTTTCCACTGTGTCAGTATGTCACTATCTGGATCTTCATTAAAATATTTTTCAAGTTCTTGCTTGATGGCTTCATATTTTACTGTAACTGGAGCCTCAAGTGTGCTTGTTGTGAGTGTCTGGATTATTCCATTCTTAATCTGGTTGATCAGCTGGTTCTGCAAGTCTAGCACATGACTCCTCAGCTCCCAGGTCCAGTTGTTGTACATGATTTCTAATTTGCTCATTGCCATGACCTCTTGAGTATTCCTGAAACTGAAAATAAAGTTCTCATTCACTAGGGCTCTCCACAAATCTTGAACTCGCAGCTTTACATCTGATATCTTCATGATGCTTCGCCTGGATTCCTGTTGAGCAGTTTCGAAAATTTTACCTTTCAGTTCCTGGACATTGTGGCTGTAGCGAGGATTGGGAGGGGCCATAGGGGGATTGCCATCCCAGAGGTGAGCAAAATAGTAAACATGAGTATTGAAATCAAACTTAATGACATCAGTAAAGCGGGTTACACCTGAGAACTGTTCTAGCTCAGCTGCTGTTGCTGCCATTTTATCCAGTCTCTGCTCTAACCGCCTCCGTCCTTCCATAGTTTGGTCAATAGCTGTAAGTTCCCCTACATTTTGATGGACAAAAAGGCAGCTAGGTGAGATGTTTACTTGTTTCATCCTCATAAAGGCTTGGACAACAATTTGTAGAATATCTTGCATTTCTGATGGATTTTCCCCAAAAATATTGATCAGAGTTAAGTTTCCAAGTCCAATGACAAAGGTTGCCAACTCATTGTCATGATTCTTGGATTTGTTACCGAGTTCTGGGGCCCGAAGTCCTTCTGTGTCTACAACAAGCACAAAGTCAAAGCCCAGTTCCTCTGTGAAAGTCTCCTCTACCTTCAGTAGCTGCATGTAGGCCCCCCGGGTACACCTCCCAGCACTGACAGTGAACTGCAAACCAAAAAGTGCATTCAGCAGGGTGGACTTCCCTGAACTCTGTAGGCCAAGGATGGAGAGAACAAACAGCCGTTTGTTTCCAAGCTTCTCAGAGACCTTGTCAAAAAGAGCTGCTACCCATCTTAGAGGCACATAGGAAGCATCCCCATCCATCAGTTCAATGGGAATACCAGATATCAGCAGATCTGCAACTACCTGGGGAAGGCAGAGATAAAGGGTATCTTTTGTGGAGGAAGTTTCTTCCAGAGATTCATAGATTTGGCTAACTTCTCTGAGAATTTGCTCAATACCCAATGTACAGTCACTAATCTCTTTGGAAATAACTTGTATGTCATTATGCAACTTATTCAGAGAGTTGCTCTTTGGTGCATTTTGCTTTTGTGTTTTTGTAAGTGACCACAAAGAGCTTTTCTTTTTATTCAGGTTTTCCAAGTGTTCTGCAGTCAGGTTGTCAAAAAAGACACCCAGCCATTGCAAAAAGTAGAGTGTGGTTTGAGTTTCTGAATGATTTTGGAGAATTTGAAGGATAGAATGCATTAAGTGATTGAGAGGAAAGGCTCTGTCCAACTGTTGATGCCGTATTTTTTGTTTTTCTGCCTCAACTTCACTCTTGTGTTGTTCAATGCTCTGATTCCCCTTTTCCCTCAGGTGATAGAGTTCTTTGTCCTTTTTACACCAAAGATGCCACAGGTGTCCCTGTAGGGGTAGAAAGTTTTCCTTCACCTGAGATATCTTCATTTCTTTCAGTAGAGCCACTATATCCTCTGCCTTTTCTTTGGCTTCCTTGCATTCTTGCTGGTCTTCATCGATAAGGAATCCTTGCTTTCGTGCATATGGGATACAGTCCTCTAAGCTGAGAGCAGTGTGTGAGAGCTCTAGCAAATGTCTGATTGTAGTAACGAGCTCCTCTGTTAATTCTGCCTCATTTCTATTCCTGATCCCAATTCTCACTTTTTGGCCAGAAATATTGACCATGGTTTTTTCTTTGTTGTCAAGTAAACAAATCAAAGGTCTTGGTGACTGACTCAGGTCATGGACAATTTTCTTGTTTTCCTTATTGTCATCAGAAGTTGATATTAGGACCACAATGAGAGAAGAGACCTCTTGCAGGAAGGTGAGTTGCTTCTTATGTTCCTTTGCATCTCCATGAAGATTGGTGAAGGTCAAGCAGTTGTCAAATCTGTCCTCATCTTCCCCACTAGGACAGAACCAGCAGACTTCCACCACACCTTTCATTAAGAGACAGTCTTTGGTGTTCCCTTTGCAATGTCGGTGAAAAAAGACATCATGTTTACGTTTACTGAGAAGACAGTTCATGATCTGAGATTTGGAAGCAGAGAGGTTATTTCCAACTCTAATAAAGGACACAATGGGGGTTGAAACACAGCACATCTGCTTATTCTTATAATTGATCTTTTTTGATTTCCTTACTTCCTGCCAGCTTTTTCTAATTTGACTGAGAGACCAGAGACAAAATTCAATTTGAGAATTGCAGGGATTAGGTGTGAGAAGAGGTAGGGCAAACTGGCAAATGGAAAGTTTGGACAAAATATTTTGTCTTGCAAAATCATCTGCACAATGAAGGATTGCCATCTGAATATCCATAGGGTGAATATGGGGTCTAGGAGTAGTGGTGAAATTATTAGTGGGAGTTTCACTGCCTTCAAACACGTCTACATATGGGTCAAAAACCTCATTTTCTTGAGTCATGGCACTTGGATAAACTTGATTTTGTGTGTTTCTAGCTTCTCTGAACACCTGGTATCTCAGTTCATAATCCAGCACGAGTAGCTTCTGCAGAAAGTAGAAGGGAAGCTCCCTTTCAGAGCTGGGCTGGGTGCTGTACACAGAAGTCTTCTGGATCAGATGAAAATTATCTCTGCTCATCTTTTTTGGGTAGTATTGTTCTAGGTCTAGACGCTGGAGTAATTCCAGGAAAGCCAAGTCTTCTATGACTTCATGTTTGCTATTTACATTACCCTGTGGTTCATGAGATTGTTTCTTTTCATGGAAGATATTTTGCAAGTTTTTTCTTACCTCATGCATTTGCAACACAGGGGTGATGGCTTCGTAATTACCATCAATTAGCAATCTCAAGTCTCTCTCAAGGGTTTCCCAATCATGATCTGCTCCAGGTTTGGAGAGGACTTGTACAACTTCCTCCGACAAAGTTTGGCCCATGTGATGTCGTATTAATGCCAAGCGTTCTGTTTTCTCCTCTGGTGAAATAGCTATAACTCTAGCAGTTTCTGTAAGACCTGTGAGCAGCAGGAATGCCTGAGCCCTGTAGGTGCAAATATTTTTGAGCTCCTGGTATTTATCTTGGGCAGTTTGCATTTTATTCAGTAGGAAGTCTAACTCATTACATCCCAAGAGATACTGAAAAGTACTGTTTACCACATGATATCCTGCACCAGCTGCAATAAAACGTAGCAAGAGCTGTATGTCTGGCTGCTGTGTTTCTAGGAGATAATTCAAGAAGGAGCCAAGAGACAAGCTCACCTTGTGTGTGGCCTTCCTTTGAGCTTCCTCCACTATTTCTGCAGATTCAGATTTGGCTTTCACTTCCATGAGGTCATTCTGGGTTTCTTGTAAGATTTTAGTTAATTCAGAAAATTGGGAGATGTTGATATGCTCTTGGTCAGACTCTGACTGGAAGATCCACTGCATGATAGAATAAGTCTGAGGAAAGTTATTCACTTTGTAGATGTGAGGATCCAAAAGTCTTTGCATCTGAGATTTAACAAATTTAGTTTTATGAGTGGAAGACATTCTGCAAAAGTTAACGGTATTTACCAGAAAATTTTGCAGACCCCAATCAGTCAGGCATATGTTAACCCAAGTGTCATAACTTTTTGTTTTTTGACTCACTATTTGCATGAAATCTGTGAGTTTTTGAAGTTGCTCTTCAGGATCAGATACCTCCCAGGACTTCACATCCTCTAGGAAATCCCTAGCCACCTTTCCAACACTGAGTAGTTCTTCCCCATCCTGGATCTGGGCAGGGAGACCTTTTAGAGCAGTGTAGCTGTCTTTCAGAAAGTTAGCTAGCTGAAGTGGATCCTTAAAATCATTTCTGTGGCTGGAGAGGATGATGTCCCAAATGGGCACCAGCTGAATTCCCCGGTCAATGATACACCAGGTTTGATTACTGGCAACTAGGCCAGCTTTCCACTGGACAAATCCATCTGCTTCAGGTGGGCCACCTGTCTGGGCTACTGATAATTGGACTTTGTTTTGGAGATTTTGAAAGGTTGTACTTTGGGAGGCAGCTTTTGCATAAGAGGATGACACTTCCCCACCTCCATTAACTTCCACTCCAAAGCCACTGTAGTTGCCTCTTACGTAACCATTCAGGGCCTCTGCTGCCTGCTGTTTTACTTCTGCCAGCTGCTCACTTTGGAAACCCTGTGAAATGGCTTTCCACCAGTAGATTCCTCCCAGGTGCAGAGGGCCCTGGTTAGCATGAGAGCCAAATCTCTGGAAGAAAGCTTCAGCCCTGTGTTTCAGGCATGTGAGTCTGTCTGGGCCTGCAGGCTGACCCAAAAGGTCTTCAATACACTTCAGTTCCTGGAGCACAGCCTTGGAGAACTGGAGCTGATCAATGGGGAAGTAGAAGGAGGCAAGAGGGATATAGCTGAATGTGGCAGAGCAGAAATAAGAGTGCTCAGATTGTGATTGCACAATTTCCTTGGATTTTGAATGTTCGTTATGGTCCATACCAGCTTCCAAGCTAAATCCCCAACCTCCACCCTTGGCTGAGGTAATTACACTGACCCCCAGCTTCTCTATCATCTGGGTGAACATGGATTCTGCTTGAGAAGATGTAAATTCCCTTGTTTCCATCCGTGTGCCCTGCTCAGGGCCACAGAGAGAGAACTCCTTGGGGACACTGAGTAACTCTTCTCTTTTTTCTATAAGCCCCTTTTGGTGGCTGGTTTTGTAAATTCCCTGCAGGGCCAGCCCTCCAGATGCCCATCTCACCAGATCTCTATCTGAGAGGTTCTCCCTGTGAGTCAGTGTCCCCTCCACTGGGTTGAGTTTTCTCTGCATGTTTTCCATGAGTTCTCTTAGAGACTTCACAAGGTGTGGCCAGTCCTCTTCGGGGATCTCCATTTCCTGTTTCAGCTCTGCCTCTTTTTTCTTCACTGCCTCTTCTTGTCGTTGCCTCCCTTCTGACAACAAGTCTCTTAGCTCCTGTAGCTCCTGCTCTGCCTTCTTCAGGTTTTTCTTGACTATTTCCACTTGAGACTCCTGCAACTCTGAATGTCTATTTGAGTGTGACAGGTTAAGCAGCTTCTCCAGGGCCCTTTCCTCCCAGGAATATCTTGCCTGGGATTTCAGCTTGTGGAGGTCTTCTTCTTCTAGGTGTTGTAAGGCCTGGGCACAGGTCACACCTAGGTGTTCCTGCAGCTTGTGCAATGAGTACTCATCTGCAAGTCCTACTTCCTTCAGCATCTCTTGCAGATCTTGCCTCCTGTTGCCTCTGAGAAGGGGCTTATTAATGGTAGACTTTGCTGTATCCATGGCTGAAGAAAGAAAAGACACTCAGTTAGGCTGTGTCATCAACTCAGGAAGTGTCAGTCACATGGCAAAAAGGGTAAGAGTACTAAAGATTCCAGTGTTTAAGGTTTTGTCATTTTTTATTTCATTTCTTTAACAAATGTATGTGTTTAAAAAATTTCATTATATATGTGTGTGTACACAAGACATCTTTGTGGGTGTTCCCTACATGGACTGCTTTTTTAATTGCCAGGATGACTTGCAACTTGGTAGCCTGGCTTTTAGCACTTCCTATTTAAAGAGAATCAATTGTATGGAGTGTATTAAGGTGTGGGTTGCAATGTGAAAATATACAAGCAATTGATAGCTTGATGTTTACTTTAAAAAGGTGTATATTCCTCTTATATACCAGTTATATTCCTCACTTATTTTCTGTTAAACCTATGTTGAATAGTTTCATTCTTCTTTCTGTCACTTCTGATGCCATCTTATAATATTTATTACTCCCCTGTTCTTTAAGATGCAGTTCTTAACATCAGCATTATGATGGCATTAAGATGTTCCTTCTTTTTTGTCTTCATTTTAAACAATTATCTCAATAATGAGACACCTATCCACAAACAAACATGCCTCTGTGCAAATTGTGGGACCTAACCACATGCCAGGGGGTGTTAAAGGAGTCTCTGTGCTTCTGGTAACTGGCTAAAGACCTCAATATGAGTTATGGAGTCAGCAGAGACAGTGAGTGTGACCCCACCATCTTGGCCTGGTTGGAAAAATCTTTCAGAATGCTGACCTGGGCAGATGTCCAAAGGTGAGAGAGATTTGCTTTGGAATCCAGGCTTCCCAAGGGAAGATTCCAGCATGAATTTGGTGATATTGCATGGGGAATTATCTGAAGGTGGCAGTCTCTCCAGTGGGGAAAAAGGAGAGTGGTTATTGAATGCCTGGTTACCACAGCTTTATAGGATATGGCTGGAGAACACATTGCTTTCCAGCAGCACTCAGAGTGCTGTGGCAGGACATACATAACCAGGGAAAAGGAAGAAAGGGAAAAAAAGCAGAGAGGAATATCAAAGGGCATTAGAAGGATAAGTTTCTTGCCACCTGTGCTCAGGACTTCAGCAGGACAGCCTCCCATGTCCCTCTGAGAGAGCCTCCCCTGTAGATCTCCCCACTGGGTCTGCAGGCACCACCAGTGGCCCAAGTGCTAAGCCCCATAACTCCTGGACATTGTGGACACCCCTTTGTGTTCAGCAGTGAGAGTTAATCCAGAAAATGGAAAGGAATCAGAAAAACACACTGGAGACTGTGTGCAAAGGAGAAACCACAAACTTAGGCTATGGTACTACCTTCTGGAAAACAAAAGAGCAGTTCCCAGTAGCCATCCTGGTGAGCTGTAAGAATAGAGATGACATAAAAGCTTATGAATTTTGCTACGAGAGAGAGCAAGAAGTGTGGAACATGTTTACCCATAGAAAGGTAAAGAAAACCAAGAAATAACAGCATCAATAAATAGAATAGTCCATCTGAAGGCATTCATAAAGATTTAAAGAGGTGTCTGCTACGTCAAATGCAAAAGCAGAAATTCAAAACTACAAGGACATGATAAATCAAGGAAGCATGTTAGCACCAAAACATTAATTTTTCAATAACTTAGCTTGAAGGCATGGCACTTTGTGACCTGCCTGACAAAGAATTCATAATAACTATTTTTGAAGAAACTTATCAGCAAGAAAACTCAGGAAGACAAAATAACAAAATCAGGGGAAAATATGTGAAAAAAATTAGATACTTACCAAAGCAGCAGAAATAATTCTGAAATTCTGGAATGGAAAACTCAATGAATAAAATGGAAAATGGAATGGAGAACATCTGTATCACGTTAGAGCAAATAAAAGACAGAGTGAGTGAGGTAGAGGGCAGCACTTTATAAATGACCTAATTAAAAAGGTATAAAGAAAAAAGAATGAGGGATCTAAGAAGGCAGCAGAGCAGGTGGAAATTACACTCACCTCCTCCAAGGACCAAACCAAATAGCAACTGAATTATACAACAATAAACCAACTAAAGTCTAGCTGATAGAATGTTTAAAACTAAGGATATGCAGAAAATGCCACATTGAAACAAGCAGGAGGCATGAAAAGGTCTGGCACCATACACAAATGCAGTAGTTGAGAATCTGAAGGAATATCTCAGTTGCATAGGTCTCTGCTGAGGTGCATCACATCTCAAAGATGCCAGCCTGAGCCTCTGGTGCAAACTTTCTTGTGGCTTTTGAGGAGATCAGAGCAGATTTGGGTTGGCAGAGAAAATGGGGAGAGACTGAGTTGTATGGCTCTGGGAAAGGGTCATTTTTCCTCCTGCATAATGGATTGGCACCACCTCCCCCAGGGAAATCCACTAGATCCACTCTTGCACTCTGGGTGGCCACACCCTATTGAGCACATACCCTGTGTAAGAGTCAGCTGCCTGTGGCCAGCCTGGACCGGTGGTTCAGACTTTCATGGAGGACTCTCAAAGAGTTCTGGGCAGACTCAGGGTGGTGGAAACTAATGGTAGCAGACTGAATTGTGTGGCTCCGAGACCAGGGTGATTATTTCCCTCACATGCCCAACTGGCACCACTGTTCCTGTGCAGATCCCTCCATTTACATGGACCAATCCAGTCTGTTTTACATTAATGCACTCCACTGGCCTCACCCTGATGACTCCTGGAGACCTGACCCACCACAAAGGTCTGCAAGCCCACTGCAGGTGGCTACAGGCTTTGGTGTACACTGAAACATACTGAGTGGCATCATGAAACCAGACTGGGCACTGAGTTTGAATCTGTATCTTCCTGCTGAACACAAGTCACTTCTACTTGGTGACTCTAACAACCTACCTCACTCAACTTGCATATAGCCAGAGGCTCTTTCAGTGAACAAGCCAACAAAACTCTGGCAGATGAAAGGGAATCTATAGTGCTTTGGGCCTTTTGCTGTTCTGACCTTGGGTACAGTGCTGAGGAAAGCCATCTTAAGTACACAGCTTGGCCACACCCACACACGCTCAGGTTAGCAGAGGCTGGCACAAACTGGGGATCATCTCTTTGTAGCTTCAAACAGGTAGCCCAGGGCTGGTCATGAGCAGGGCCTGACATTGACCTGCATTGAAGTTACTGTCAAGAGGCCCCAGAACCAAGACACTTCATAATTAAAGTGCCAAAGGTTATAGACAAATAGGGAACCTTATAAGCAGCAAGAGAAAGAGAGTTTCCTACCAGGGGGATCCCAGAAGGCTGACAGCTGATTTCTCAACAGAAAAATTTCAGGCAGGAAGGGATTGGCACAAAATATTCAAAGTGATGAGAAGCAAGAATCTGAAACCAAGAATGCTCTACCTAGCATTTAAAATGGAAGCAGATATTGTTTATCTTTTTAAAGAACAAGCTCCTGAATTTATTAATACTTTGAATTGTTCTTTTAGTCTCTACATCATTTAATTCTGCTCTGATCTTGGCTATTTCTTTCTTTCTCTCGCTCTGGGCTTTGTTTGTTGTTGTAGATGTAGGGTTATGTTTCCATATATTTTTAGGTAGACCTGTATCGCTATGAACTTCGCTCTCAGGACTGCATTTGCTGTGCTGCATAAGTTTTTGACTGCTGTGTGTTCATTTTCATTTCCTTCCAGACACTTTTTGATTTGTTCCTTGATCTCATTATTAACCTATTCATTTAAGCACACTATTCAATCTCCATGAATTTGACTGCTTTTGAGTTTTTTTCCAGGAGATAGGTTTCTAGTTTCAGGTCCTTGTGGTCTGAGAAAATGCTTGAGATGATTTCAATTGCCTTGAATTTTCTGAGGCTTGTTCTGTGTCCTATCATGTGGTCTATCTCTGAAAATGTCCTATGTGTATTAGAAAAGAATGTGTATTTTGCTTCTTTGGGATGAAAGGTTCTCTACATACCAGTTAAGTCCATTTGATCTAAGGCATTGTTCAATGCCACAATATCGTTGTTCATATTTTGTTTGGAAAATCTACTCACTTTTGACAATGGAATGTTTAAATCCTCTAGTATAAGTATGTTGCTGTCTATATCCTTCTTGAAGTCCTCCAAAATTTTCCTTATATATTTGAGTGCTTCTGTGTTGGGTGCATATATATTTATAATGTTTATGTCTTCTTGATTGAGTCTTCCCTTGAGTTATATGAAATATCCTTTTGTGTCTCTTCTTATGGCCTTTGTTTTGAAGTCTATTTTGTCTGATATAAGTATTGCTATACCAGCTTTTTTTTCCTATCCATATGCTTGGAATATTTTAAAGTTAATATGGAGCTATATATGACCCTGAATAGCTGCAGTAATTTTCAGAAAGAAGAACAAAGTAGGAGGGATCACAATATCTGACATCAAACTATATTACAAGGCCACAATAATCCAACCATTTGGTAATGACAAAACAACAGACACAGATCGATGGAAGAGAATAAAGAGCACAGAAATAAACCCAAGTCTTTATGGATAATTCATATTTAACAAGAGGGGAAGAAGCATAAAATGGAGTAAAAACAGCCTGTTCAACAATTGGTGTTGGGAAATGTGGACAGCTACATGCAAAAAAATGAAACTTGACCACCAACTTACACCATGCACAAAAATAAACTCAAGATGGATAAAAGACTTAAATTTAAGTCATGACATCATAAAAGTCCTAGAGGAGAACATAGGCAGAAAAATCTCAGATATTCCATGTGGCAATATTTTCACTGATATGTCCCCTAGAGCAAAGGACATAAAGGAAAGAATAAACAAATGGGACTTCATCAAAATAAAAAGCTTCTGCACCACTAAACAAAACATCAGCAAAATGAAAAGGGATCCAACCATATGGGAAAATATGTTTGCAAATGATACGCCAAACAAGGGTTTCATCTCCAAAATATGTAAAGAAAGCACATTCTCTCTTTCTCCCTCCCTTCCCTCTCTAAAGATAAATAAATAAAATCTTTTAAAAGAAAGCACATGACTTTACTGC